ATTAGTAAAGAATGGTATTTAGAATCCAAGATCTGAGGGCTAAGTATACTCATCACTACTGGAAATCACTGCTAAGAATACATGTGCACACATTCGTATACACACACACACAACTTATAATGTATATCATACACATATATGTATATGACATGCATATGTATTCATCTATATATTTACACATATACTTGTTTAAATCTATATACCTATATAGACATAGGTAAAGAGACAGGGATTTAATGTCATGGGTTCACAGGGATACTGCCAACTGCAATCCAACACCACAGGGTTCATTCTACTTTTTCCCTATCTTTATTTCATTCTTCTCTAGTGAAAAACCTAGATCCTATTATCGTTCCTAGATTTAATTATTTGATCAATCACCCTGTATATTGCTAAACTCTCATTGCCACTGCCACACCTGTCCCTACAGAGATGTCTTCCTTACCCACTCGGGCTCCAACCTCCATCGCTGGTCTGACCCTCCTACATGCTTTCCTCCACATCTTGTTTGGGATCAAATATCACCCATCTGCTGCTCCTGCACAAGAGCCTTGTTAAATCAACTCTGGGACCCTGTGTCAAGCTGCCTGCTGCAGAAGCACCCATTCACCATGCTCAGGCCCTAACACTCCACACCAGGCTGCCCTCCTGCCTGGATGCCATCCTTACCAGGGTCAGACTCAGATATCCTGATCTGAGCCCCTTGGGCTCCATCCACTTAGTAAGGATGTCTCCTTGCTCTTCCCCACCAAATAACTATAGGATCTATCGAGGGAAAGATGAGACGGAAGAGGGAAGAGAATGAGGGTGACAGAAGATGAGGAAGAGTCAGTTGCCCTAATTCTTAACAAATGTTTTAAACATATAATTTTTTTGTGATGATAAACTTAGGGTAAAAATGTTCATGCATCAGAAACATCACTATTAAAGGTAGGCTTAGGCTGGGCACAGTAGCTCTCGCCTATAATCCCAACACTTTGGGAGGCCGAGGCAGGAAGATTGCTTGAGCTTAGGAGTTCAAGGCCAGGCTACGCAACACAGTGAAATCCATCTCTACAAAAAATACAACAATTAGCCTGGTGTGGTGGCATATGCCTGTAGTCCCAGCCATGTGGGAGGCTGAAGTGGGAGGATCCCTTGAGCCCAGAAGTCAAGGCTGTAGTGAGCCATGAGTGTGCCTTGGTACTCCAGCCTGAGTGACAGAATGAGACCCTGTCTCAAAAATTAAATGAGTGAATAAATAAATAAATAAAGGCTTATGGCTAATCTGTTCCCTTTAAACAGATTTTGGTCTTTGATCATTTGATCAAAGTGCTGTCTGCCAAGCTTCTCCACCATAAAGTTACTCTTTTTCCTTTGATATTAATAAGCACATTCTGAAGAGTTACTTTGAATCTTCAATACTTTGTACCCCATCAAACTTTTCATTGACTCATTTTTTAATCTACATCAGTTGGTACTCATAAATTCCCATATTATTAAATGAGTTGCAATTCACTAATATTATCATTTATTTGATGCTCAATTTGTCCCAGATTTGTCCAGTGGGAACCCCTTTAAATGTTCTTAAAGATAGAAACTGCTAGCATGTTCTACTGAGATATGGACTAACAATGTCAGACATATGTGGGTGCTTGAATAATATTTGCTTCAAAAATATTTATTACTAGAAAGCTGCTGTGTTTGGGGTGAGGGGTTAGTAGGGAAGGGGGTTCATAAAGGGAATGCAAAAGCCATGTCCTCTGGAAGTTAAAAGAATCATTTAAAATGATTCTACTGCAAACATTTTTCAAAAGATAAACATGACCCATTTCTCCAATTCGTGCCACGCAATAGTAATAATAATGATATTTAAATACTCCCACTGATGTATCCTTTACAAAGATATATTACATGTCTTATTTAATCAAAAAACCTTAAAAGAGTCCCTGTACCTAATTTTATTCTAGGACTCAAACTGTGTCAGCATGTCATTCAGTGCAAGTCAGACATTTAGATGCATAGGCTATGCTGTCAGTAGCTCTGAACTTTCATAGACATTTCCAATTAGCTCAGAGAGACAATTGGATATTGTGCTTAAGCACTGTGTTTAAGAAAACGGGCACTGGATGGACCAATGCCAAATCTCCTGCTCTACTGCTTAACTAAGTATGCGTATTGGGGCAATTACTTAACTTAAGCCCCAATTTCTTCATCGAGCCCAGAAGGTCAAGGCTGCAGTGAGCTGTGAATGTGCCTCTGCCCTCCAGCCTGAGCGACAGAGTTAGAATTCCCCAGGAGTGCAGAGGTTCTCAGAACTGCGATACTCTCAGACGCATTTTGAAAGGTGAAACAGGGATAGAAGAACTGGGGATAACTAGAAGGGAGAAAAACGTCCTGTACAATTCTTTTTTTTTTTTTTTTTCCAGCAGCTGGAACTAAAAAAATGCTAACTCATAGGGCTATATATATATAACTATTCTTATTATTAAAATTTGACTGAAAGTCTTAGGTTAACAGAAAACCCATGTCCAAGTATGTAGGTCTATACATCTAGGTAAAAAATATCCAGTAAACCTCACAATATCCTTTGGCAAAGAGAAAACTAAATTTCACAGAGATCAATACAGAATCTAGAAAACAAGCTGAGAGTGCCTGACAATTTTTAATTCTGGCTTAAATTCGATGCTAACATCATAACTTTTGTCTTGTACATTACAATTTTAGCTTAAGTGGAGCTAAAAGGACAGAACTTACACCATATACATAGAGGGACATCCTCTCCCCCCATTAATCTTATTGATTTACACCTTCATTTATTCCACTTTCATTTGTTTCCTTTCTCTCTCTCTCTTTAGAGATATTCTCTGCATATCAACTTAACCCTGATGCCTATGGAATAAGTATTTACCTAACAGTGCACTCTCTAGACCATATCATTTTAAAGTTGTGGTTTTTAACCAGCTTAAAATCACATTTAAAGCTACACAGGGAGCTGATAAAAATTCTTAATGCCCACACTGAATACCAAGCCAAATGAACCAGAGTTTTGTAGGGAAAGATCCAGGTATCAGAATTTTTCAAGCTCTCTGGTGTTTCTGACATACAGTCAAGTAGAGAATCAAACTTCTACAATGAATCCAGAATGCACTGGTTCTCAGAACTGCAATACTCTGAGGTGAACCAGGGATAGAAGAATTGGAGATACCCAGAAGGGGGAAAAATGTCCCGGACAATTCTGTTTCTTTTACTTTCTTTCTTTCTTTATTCTTTTTTTTTTTTTTTTTTTTTTTTTTTGAGACTGTTTTGCGCTGTCACCCAGGCTGGAGCTTAGTGGCACCATCACCATGATAGCTCACTGCAGCCTCAAACTTTGGGCTGAAGCAATCTTTCTGCCCTGGCGTCCCAAGTATCTGGGACTACAAGTGTACATCACCAAAACCGCACTTTAAAAAGTTTTTTTTAATAAAGAAAGGACCTTGCTATGTTGCCCAGGGTGGTCTTGAACTCCTGGATTCCAGCCATCCTCCCACCTCAGCACCCAAAAGTGCTGGAATTACAGGCCTGGACAATAAGTGGTATGATGGAAAAGAGATGTGGCACAAGGAAATTTAGAACTGGAGCAACCCAAGATGTTCTGTCCAAGTTGTTAACAACGAGACCTTTTAAAAGGCATTTATAAAAATTAATAGTCTTACCTTTTGATTATCCTTCTTTCTCTATAGTGTATTACAAAAATTCCACATATTACAAGCCCACGAAAATAAATTCCCATGTGAGTTTGAAAACTTTTTGTAGAATAATGTCCCAATTTTAGTTACTGGTGGCCAATATTTACCTTGAGAGTAGCTTGAGAGGTGGTGGTGTTTTATTACCCTTACTGGCTGCTAACATTTGTGACACAGAAACCTGCAATAGGTTGGATGGACTCCTTTCAACATGAAAAGTAATTATAAACAGGTGAAGGTAAAACGGCAACTTTCGTGTTGGCTTTGGTAATGTTTTGCACGTAATCCCTCTGTCAAAGTGTCTTAAACAATAAAACAGCAAGCAATAATCACACACACACACGCACACACACATTTTGTTTTCAAAGATCACGGTGTAAAATGAAGATACACACACGTTATCCTGTAAGTTGTGGATCTTTGGTTGGCTGGTTGGTTATGAAGTTTTTTCCCCTCTCAGCTCTAAAAAAAAACATCCTTGGCAAGGTGAGGTGGCTCACGCCTGTAATCCCAGCACTTTGGGAGGCCGAAACGGGCAGATCACCTGAGGGTGTGAGTTTGAGACCAGACTGACCAATGTGGAGAAACCCCGTCTCTACTAAAAATATAAAATTAGTCTGGCGTGGTGGCGTATGCCTGTAATCGCAGCTACTCTGGAGGCTGAGAGAGGAGAATCGCTTGAACTCGGGAGGCGGAGGTTGCGGTGAGCCGAGATCACGCCACTGCACTCCAGCCTGGGCAACAAGAGCAAAACTGTCTCAAAAAAAAAAAAAAAAAAAAAAAAAAAAAAATTCCTCAAAGCCAACCCACCTGCCAAGAGGAGGGAAGGAGGTAAGGGGGAGCCTTACACTGGAATCAAGAAAAGGGAGTAGGCCTTGGGAAAATGTGGCTTTCAAAATTCATTCCACATTTGCACAAGCCAAGTCGCTAAAGTCGCTAGCTGGTCCCTGCATCCACCTACACACCCCACTGACCTCTTCCTAGGAAAAACCACACTCTCCCCCGTTACCTACGCCCCCGAATTGTGTGGCGCTGTTTGTTCAAGACTCGCCCCAAAGAACGCAGGAGCGCGAGCCGCCCCAGTTCCAGGGTTCAGCTTAGGTGACACAAACGTAGCCAATGGGAGGCCGCCGCCGACAATCGCCACCCACCCTTACCAGCATCCCGGCGCCTCTCACCGCCACCCTTGCCCGGCGCGCCGGCGATGCCCTCTGCCCGCGGGGACCCAAGCCTCGCGCGCCCCTTCCTGCGCGCCCTCCGCCCTCCCTACCCTGGCCCCTGTAGCCATCACACCTGGGGCACTGCCGTCCGCCGAGCTTGGGCGCGCGGTGGCGAGAAGGCACTGGAGGAGGAGGAGCAATCGGGGCGTAGGCGCCCTGGCTGCCAGCAGGCCGGGGAGGGCGCGCATGGCGCCGGAGGGTCCGCCTCGGTCCTCGTGGAGACTGCTCTCTCAGCTCGCTGCCGCGGGTGTCCGGAGTCCCTGCGCACACTCGCCGGTGGCCCGGCGCCCGCAGTCAGTGCCGGCGGCAGGACGCTGAAGAAAAGGCGGAATGGGAGGGGCCCGGCCGCCTTGCCCTACTCCCCCGAGACGCTCTCACCGCGCCCGGCCCTCCACCAATTATGCAGCCCTCAGCCGGCTGCTGGCGTTCCCGGATGTGCGGTGCTACTTCCCGGCTGCAGCCTCTCTGGCCTCCGCCCTCTCGGCTCTAGCAGGTCCAGGTCGGGAGAGAGCTTGGGCAGGTTGTGTCTAGCCCATCTGCTGGGGAGAGGTTGAAACTCTCCCTGCAGGCTGGCCTTTGCACTTCACCTGAGGCAGGTTTCACTAATTTGCTTTGATGGGACACATGAGAGTATAGAAGACTTTTCTCCTCCCCGACCCCGGACATCTTTGGACTTTCTTATGAGGGAGGCTTGTTTTTGCTGCAGGTGTAAAGGTTCTATCCAGCTGCCGGACAACTTGTACTAATCTTTCTTTGCTTTGCCTACCAATCACACACACCCTCTCTTCTAGCCTCTGAAGGCTTCACTGGTTTTCTCTGGGTGAAAGTTTCAGAGTCCCAAGGCCCCATACCGTGTCTGATTTTACTTTATTTTTGTTTGTTAAGCCTAACAGCTTCTGAGGAGCCACCTAGAGCTCAAGAAGCAAAAGCTACTGAGAGTAGATACTATGTAAACTGCACAAGACACTGACCTTTGTTAAATCTGAACACTTTAAGATAATGCTATCTCTTACCCACAAGGCTGTAGTTTGAAATTTTCAGTGCTCTGAACCAAATTAAGTAAAACAACTAATTAGTGCTTTATCCAGGAGGGAAGGAGAAATCTATGTTATAACATTGAAACACATTGATTTGATTTCTCTCTGGGATGTTATAACACATTAAAAGATATTTTATAGATTTTTCACGAGCTTTGTTTCCTCTCCCTGTATTTTTTGAAGTTCAGCTTTCACGTTCGTAAATTCAAAGTATATCAGCGTCAAAAAAAAAAAAAAAAAGGATTGGAAATAACGTAAGAGACAGATTTTGAAAATAGAACTATTTAACAAAACCTATGCTTACTCCAGGCAGGAATGGTTAATTTTTAATTGGTACGTATTACTAAAACATGTCCGTTTCTGGTTTAGTATTATATGCGCAAAACTTTGGAAACAATGTAGATTCTTCAAATTGGCAGTGAGAGAATATGAATAATACAATTCATTCAACAATATCATCTACCAGGTGCCAGTCATTGTGTTCAAAAGAGGCTGGATAGGAATACATGCACAAATGCATGCATGCACACATGTACACACACACACACACAAATTAGACAACTGTTTATCGGTGAATGACAAATCTCAGAAAAGCCTCTTCTCAGAAAGCTATGGTCACAATGATTAAAATCTTTTGAATGAAATTTTAAAAGATGCCTTCAAGGACTAAGTCTTATTACACTGTTGACCCTCTCAGGGCATTGACAGGACTTGCTAAACCCAAATTGCCTAATCAATGGCAACTACATCACGCCTCTTTCTTTCTACCCTGCATCTGGTCTCAGGACTAACTGAACACATTTCCCTATAATTATGTAGAGTGTCAACAGTAGCACTTCTCATCTCAAACTATACTCTGACTGACTTTTCCCAGTTAGTCTCTTAAAATCCTTGGACACAAATTCACCCTTCTTCTAATGAGCTGAACTTACTTAAAGAAACATTTTTTCAGTCGAATCAGTGTATTTATGACCAGAAAAACTTACTTGCCCAGGTTGATGCTGATCCCCACTGTTGCTTTTGCTGTTAGAACAAAAAAGTTGAGAAAGAAATATAATTCTCATTTTGCTAAGCATTTTAAAAGTCTTTTCATCATTGTTCCTGTTCTATATTTAGATATTTGATATTTCCAGCCTTATCTGCACTCCACTTTTTCAAATGCTCCATATCCTTTAAAACCAGCTTATCAACTACCTTCCCTATATAAATTTTTCTGACCTTTCTGGTCCAAATTGACCTTTCCCTCCTTGGTGAAATAAATATTGCACCAAGCGCTTTGACACTCCCATCATCATAAAGTGTATAAAAGGGGAATAAGGGTCCTTTGTTTTCTCCCCTTGAGTTAGGTGAGCTCTGTGACTCCCCTAACCTACTGAATATTGCTGAAGAGATACTGTGTGGGCTGGCCGGGTGTGGTGGCTCAGGCCTGTAATTTCAGCACTTTGGGAGGCTGATGCAGGTGGATCACAAGGTCAGGAGCTCAAGACCAGCCTGGCCAATATGGTGAAACCCTGTCTCTACTAAAAATGCAAAATAAAATTAGCTGGGCATGGTGGCGCATGCCTGTAATCCCAGCTACTTGGGAAGCTAAGGCAGAAGAATTGATTGAATCCAGGAGGCAGACCTTGCCGTGAGCCAAGATCACGCCATTGCACTCCAGCCTGGGCAACAGAGCAAGACTCTGTAAAAAAAAAAAAAAAAAAAAAAAAGAGAGAGAGATATTGTATGGGCTTTCCAGACCACAAGAGCTTCCACTTCCTTTCTCTTGGAGACCTTGCTCACAGAAGACAGTTCCCTGGTAAAAAGTACTACTGTATTACCCTTAGACTGCCACACTGTGAGAAACCCAAATGCCATGGAGGAACCCGTAAAAATAAAGTCAGGTCAAGTAAAAAAGGAGTATGAAGATTTATTATACATACAAAAGAATAGTTCACAAACCGGAAGACTTCAAATCAAAAGTAGTAAGAAACTTGACATGAGAGTCACAGTGCAGCTTAAAAAGCATCAGTGAGGAAGTGCATTGACCTCTGTTGTGGCTGGCTATTAAAAACTTACATTCCTTTTTGGGCAAGTAGAGCTGTATAAGCTTATTTGTCTCTAACAGTTTGGTTCAATTTCATCATACTAACAAGAAAGGAAAGCTTAACTTTTGTTAATGTATAGAAATTGCATTTCAGGAAAATTAGGATAGCTTAAATTTTGGTTATGTGGCTATGAGTGGTTGACCTAGGGATATAATGTGTCCTCCATTTTGATTCTACTTTAACAAATCCCCCATACAGGACCTTAAATCATTGTTGAGTGTTTACTTTGCTGTGCAGAAGCTTTTTAGCCTGATTCAATCCCATTTGTCTATTTTTTCTTGGTTGCCTGTGCTTTAGAGGTCTTACACAAAATATTGTTTCTCAGACAAATGTCCTGGAACACTTTCCTGAAGTTTTCATCTAATCATTTCGTAGTCATAGTTGCAGGCCTTATATATAAACCTTTAATCCATTTTAATTGTATTTTTGTGTATGGTGAGATATAGAGGTTTAGTTTCATCCTTCTACATGTAATTACCCAGTTTTCCCAGCACCATTTATTAAATAGACTCTCATTTTCCCATTGTATGCTCTTGGTACTGTTGCTGAAGATGAATTGGTTGTCAACGCATTGATTTATATCTGGGTTCTCTATTCTGTTTCATTGGTCTATGTGTCTGTTTTCTTGCCGGTTCTATGCTAATTTGATTACTATAGCTTTTTTTTTTTTATCTTTAACTTTTGTTGTAAGTTCCAGGGTACATGTGCAGACTATGCAGATTTCTTAAGTAAGTAAATGTGTGCCATGGTGGTTTGCTTCACAGATCATCCCATCACCTAGGTATTAAGCCCAGCATGCATTAGCTATTCTTCCTGATGCTCTCCCTCCTGCAACACCCCACCCCAACAGGCCCATCATGTGTCCACGTGGTCTCATCATTCAGCTCATTCAGGTGAGAATATGTGGTGTTTGGTTTTCTGTCCCTGCGTTGGTTTGCTGAGGATAACAGCTTCCAGCTCCGTCTATGTCTCTACAAAGGATATGATCTCATTCCTTTTTATGGTTCAATAGTATTCCATGGTGTATATGTACAACATTTTCTTTATCCAGTCTACCACTGATGGGCATTTGGATAGATTCCATGTCTTTATTATTGTGAATAGTTGGTTACTATATCTTTTTTTTATTATTATTATACTTTAAGTTCTAGGGTACATGTGCACAACGTGCAGGTTTGTTACATATGTATACTTATGCCATGTTGGTGTGCTGCACCCATTAACTCATCATTTACATTAGGTATTTCTCCTAATGCCATCCCTCCCCTATCCCCCAACCCCATGACAGGCCCTGGTATGTGATGTTCCCCACCCTGTGTCCAAGTTTTCTCATTGTTCAGTTCCCACCTATGAGTGAGAACATGCGGTGTTTGGTTTTCTATTCTTGCGATAGTTCGCTGAGAATGATGGTTTCCAGCTTCATCCATGTCCCGACAAAGGACATGAACTCATCTTTTTTTATGGCCATGTAGTATTCCATGGTGTATATATATTCCACATTTTCTTAATCCAGTCTATCATTGATGGACATTTGGGTTGGTTCCAAGTCTTTGCTATTGTGGATAGTGCCGCAATAAACATACATGTGCAAGTGTCTTTATAGTCACATGATTTATAATCCTTTGGGTATATACCCAGTAATGGGATTGCTGAGTCAAACGGCATTTCTGGTTTTAGGTCCTTGAGGAATCATCACACTGTCTTCCACAATGGCTGAACTAGTTTACAATCCCACCAACAGTGTAAAAGCGTTCCTATTTCTCCACATCCTCTCCAGCACCTGTTGTTTCCTAACTTTTTAATGATCACCATTCTAACTGGTGTGAGATAGTATCTCATTGTGGTTTTGATTTGCATTTCTCTATGACCAGTGATGATGAGCATTTTTTCATGTGTCTGTTGGCTGTATACATGTCTTGTTTTGAAAAGTGTCTGTTCATATCCTTTGCCCACTTTTTGATTGGCTTGTTTGATTTTTTTTCTTGTAAATTTGTTTAATTTCTCTGTAGATTCTGGATATTAACCCTTTCCCAGATGGGTAGATTGCAAAAATTTTCTCCCATCCTCTAGATTGCCTGTTCACTCTCATGGTAGTTTCTTTTGCTGTGCAGAAGCTCTTTAGTTTAATGAGATCCCATTTGTCTCTTTTGACTTTTGTTGCCGTTGCTTTTGGTGTTTTAGTCATGAAGTCCTTGCCCATGCTTATGTCCTGAATGGTATTGCCTAGGTTTTCTTCTAGGGTTTTTATGGTTTTAGGTCTAACACTTAAGTCTGTAATCCATCTTGAATTAATTTTCGTATAAGGTGTAAGGA